GGGGGGGGGGGGGGGCTCCGTGCCAGCCTAGGTAATTTGTCACCTAACTGGTGTGTGATCAAGGGTGACTATGTTTGTGTGTACGAAGTCCTCTTAGATCAACATTCTGACAAACAATCCTAACAGGTGTCCCCTTCCACAAATGCCTTACAAGTCAGAGGGCCTGGTGGACGATGACCACTCCAGGACAGTCTCGGGTTTCTGACCAGGGGGCCCAGGTAAATTTAGTAAGACGCGGTCCACTTGCAGTCAGACACTTGACATGCTCACAGAGAGAAGACGCAAGTTCTAGACAGGACCGGACCTGTGGAGCTTTCTTAATACTTACAAATCTGAGGGATGCAAAGATCAGAAACCTGCAGCTGGGATCAACTACATGATGGAATTATGACATCAGCAGAGGATGATGAAGAGTTTGATGAGGCTGTCGACCGCTACGCCGCTGACACCACCTGGAGCTGGGTAAAGTAGTTTACATTACAGTCATTTAGCAGACCCTTTTATCCAAAGCAACTTACAATTCAGAGTCTATCACATTTCTGCACCGGGAGCAATTTTGGGGTTAAGTGTCTTGCTCAAGGACACATCGACATGCGACTAGAGGAGCCGGGGTTCGAACCTCCGATTGAAAGAAGGCCCTGCTATCCACTTAGCCCACAGTTTATAAATCAAATGTGTGGAAGAAAAGCATGAATTGTGGGGTGAAAGAGTGTACATCTTGATGAACACAATCAATGGGTTGGAAAGGTGAAGGATTACACTTTCAAATGTATACATGAACAGAAATGCACAAATAGAAAAAACATCTCCTTTTGCATCTCTCACAATGTACTTACACAGAAATAGAAATATATACAATATATACTATATACAAGTCAAGTGTGCAAAGAAATACATACATATGATATACATAAGACTGGATGATTGTGTACATGTAAGATTACTAAATATATGTGTGTATGATTTATATCGTCAGTGTAAGATACTATGTACATATTAAAAACAAATTGTGCACTAAAACTTTAAAAATAATGGCAGCAGTAGACATGTTGGTGTTAGAGAGTTCTCGACAGTGTGTGAACAAGCACTCGTGTTAGTGTGTTTTGTGTCACGACAGGACTAGTAGGGACATACGTTCATTCAAAATGATGCTCTGTTTTTTTTTAAATATCTGACCGTTATGTAAAAGTAGCGGGTCCTCTGGTTCTTATGGACAGCAGAGACAGTGAGAACATGAACGTGTTTTTCAGTAATCCTGCCCCGTGTAAGACGATCTGATCCGACTGAAACTCGGGAGGGAGAAGAAGGGTGTGAAAAGGAGGGAGAGAGGGGATAGCCTTGTGGATCAGGGGAACTTTTCACCCCGTCTCCAGGTTATTTGGTCCGAAGGGAATTTACCTCGTAAGAAAACAAGACGTATCAGACAAAATTACATTTGCAACTCAGACTCATTAGGTAAACGTTCGGAGATTGTTGAATGTATTTTTTGTGGAATACTTGATTTAAGAAAGCCCTTAATCATGTGGCCTTTTGTTGGGACCAGAACATCCTAAAAGTTATTTGTGGGTACTTAAATTTATTTTTGAAATTCCCCCAATTTTAAATCTTACATATCCATCTCATTTTCTTCTGCTTTTCTCAGTCCACAGCCGTACAATGATTGGCCCAAGAGGGTGTGCTGGCCTCATAATCACTCTAATTACAAACAGGTTTTTTGTCCTTTTAATCAATGTGTCTGAGGTTGGCAGTTCCAGCTAATTTTTCTGTCAGGTCTTGTCACTCTCAGGCCAGAATGACCTGAGCCAATCAGAGGCCTCGCTATCAACCAAGTGTGTCAAAATATTACGCAATGTATTTGTTAGAGCGTCATGGCCTTGCTGAGTCAACTGAAATGACGTCCGAGCAGAATGCGGACGGGTAGCTACGTGTTGTTTATCGCTGGCTCCAGACACATTGTGAGGAGTTTGTGTTGCGTTCTACCGTTGCATAGCTCGAGTGCAGAAATGATGCATGAACAATACTTGAATGTATCATTTCCGTCACTTGGACTGTTTTTATTATGTTGTTCTTTTTGGACACATGATATCTGTTGCACTTCTGCTCATCCTGGGAGAGCGATCCTCCTCAGTTCCTCTCCCTGAGTTTCTCTCTTTTTGGCAGATGTAGAGTAAACAAATGGTCGCCCTTGCTGCAGTGTGATTGGTGCACATGTATGGAAGTGATCAGCTATCGCTACAAATCCGTAAATCCAAAATTGGGATTGGCTGAACCCGAGTGTGAGACCACACTACCCAAGACGCTGCTCCCAGCAGAGAGGGTGAATGATTAGGTGCAAATAAGGTCAACCCTAAGTCAATCTTAATTAAAAATAACTCAGATTTAAGATATGTGAGGGGAATTCAAGCAACCAGGATGTTTTTGTTTTTACTCTGTTGATAAATGTTGCTAAGTGGTTTAGTGACAGAGTCATATGTCAACTTGTTTGCCGTAGCCTGATACCAGTCACAGCACTGCCCATACATGAAATTGCTATCATATGCTGTTTGGTGTCCAGAGTCAATCAGCTGAGCTGAGCTCCTGCTGGCAAAGCAGCTCGTTCTTAGAAACATGTCTACGGCAGCTGTGCTGCTCGTATATCAGCGACTCTGACCGCTGTCTGTATATGTAGCAGAGCCACAATGTGTGGAGTTAAGAGTTAAGAGTTGAGTTGAAACGGTGTGTTCCACGCCTAGTTATTACAGGGTTATTACTGTATCTGAAATCAGGACGGAGACATTTACTGTCACATTTGTAAGCAAGTAACAGAAACTACAAGGAGTTATTATGTTGTTATGTCAGGGAAACATGCAGGGTATTTATGAGTTGTTTAAGTACAATGTGATAAAAACTTAGATGGTATACATTCAGGGTGAGACACAAGGGTGAGTTACACTACAAGTGGCTTTGTGCTGCGATGAATGAAACTAAACTGTAGCTGCACGGGGGAGAAGAGCATGCTCACAGGAAATGCCTCAATTTAAATATGGTTTATTGACAAAAAGTGTGAACTACATAGTCATGTTTTACATAACTTCTTATGCAGTAAAAGAAGCCACCCATATAGCCATTCATAAAACTGCTTAATGTCAGCTGAGGTTGCCGGTTGGTGCAGGGTCAACAGAGTTCTCAGGCTAAGAACTGGTACTGAAACTAAACATGCAGACGCTGCAAGGTTGTAAACCACAATGCAAGAGGAAACCTCAGCTCTGACATTGTACAGTGTGACATGGGGACATGCCACTCAACACAGTCCAGTGATTTCACAACAGTGTCAACTGGCACGACAATGGTGAACGTTTCAAAAGTACAACATCAGCACGGGGTTCAGCGTCACTAGACTGTGGTGGAAAAAAACTCTCACAGAGACATGCATTCTTCCTTTTATGGTTTTAGCTAAAAAAAAAAAAAGAAAGTCTGGAAAAAAAATTAGCTGCCATGCACTGTGAACACACACACACACACACACACACACATACCCGTAGAGCTGGCTCTTGTTACAGAAGAGTGGCAGGTGAGGCTGTTGTAGCCTATTAAATGTTTGAGCTGGTGGGGGGAAATCTCCCATGAAGAAAACTTTGTTTTGCTGTCACACAGAGAAAGAGAGAGAGAGAGAGAGAGAGAGAGAGAGAGAGAGTAGATTTGTAACTTGCATACCAATAAAGCTTATTCTAATTTGTGAATTAGAATAATTTGTTCTGTGAGTTTGTAAGCGTGCAACAGAAATGCCTTGCTCCTATACATAGTTGAGTTATGCATAATGACACCACAAGTCAACCACATTCTCCCGACGTTGCACTTCAAGGTCCCAGTCTAGGCCGGCTACATCGCATGTGCTCTCATGCAGGCCTGTGATTGGCCGGAGAGATCACCTCACTCCTCCGGGCTGACTGGGTGACTTCAAACGCTGACGTAGAGCCCGCTTCTTCCCGCCGTACTGCACTCTGCTGCCGGGTTCTCTGTGCAGGAAACATGTTTCCCCTCGGTGCTCTTTAAACTGAGACGTCACCGCGTGGTGCGGTTGCGCTGCAATGTAAAGCATAAGTGCATTATTGTTTTCAGAGCATACATAGTAGCTGTGTCACAGACTTTTAGATACCCACCGACTAGTTTAATGTGCCCTAAAGAAGTACGTGCGGAACTCTTGTCTCCTTAATGAACAGGCCGTGACGCTACTTTCACTTTGAGAACACCATTTTTGACGGAACGAGTCAACTGTCTGTTTTTTTTTTTGTTGCCACTGTGGCAGCTGAAACGATGCGTTTGGCAACTCCACGGCTCGACGCTGATTGGTCAGCGGGCGTGTTCCGATGGAGATGATGTCATCCACCGACCAGGCTCGCTGACACAGACGGGGCGAAGAGAAAACACCGGCGCTCAGAGGGAGACATCAGTATCGCAATCACTTAATAAATAGTCCGCTTTCTTTTTTTTTGGTCGCCGTGACTCGGTGACAGAAAGTCGAGGCTTTTGTGGAGCACGCACGCATCACCTCTATCCGCGAATGGCTTCTTCTATAATGTGCAGTTGAGCTGTCATTCACCGCTGTGGAAGCGCCAGTCCCCGTGTGTTGGTAGAGGCTGTCGGCATACTCAGCCACTGAAGGTATGATCCCGTTTTTACAGTGTGTTTGACTGCACCTGCATGTCTGATGATAATTCTGATTTTTCACACGGTTGCACATATCTGTTATGATCAGTACTGCGTCTTTATGCTCATTATATAGGCCTATACTCATCAGTTATGATGCATTACTAACACTTTCCATGTCAGGACGTTATTATGAGTCAGCTATATATGTCTATATGTCTTTCTTTTAAATAGGTGTAGCTGTAGCTGATTGGTGTGAGGCTCATGTATTGCTGAGTGTTCTTAATTAAACTGATAATTCATCACTTACACCTTCCACTTGGGTTGTTGTTTTCTTAAATAGTCAGGTGGAGTCTATAGTTAGTTTTGTGTGTTTATGGGACTAATGAGACTCGTTGAAAATGAAAGACTCTCTGTGTCTACACATTATCTGCTGAGTGGCTCAGCCATATTCCAGCCTGCAAGGGAAGATTCATAACTGCATCTTGTAAACCAATTAAACTCGTGCCCAAAATACAGTTCAACACAAATCACAGACTTTTAAAAATATGATTTCGTGAAAAGGCTCAGTTAACTTTGTCTCAACTCCCATTCCTTTATGAAACCAAGCAGTGGTGTCAGTGTTTTGAGACATTGTTCCTCTTTCTGTTTCATCTGTAACACAAGAAAAATCTATTTTTGGACGGAGCTGCTCTGCATGTAGCAGCGTTCACAGAAGGAAAAAGTCATCAGCTTTGAAAATCAGCAGGGGGTTTGCCGGCAGCCCTGTAACTCAACGCCTCAGTGAAAGGTGAAATTAATAATTAAAGGCGCGTTAAGGTCATCTGCAAGAAGTATTTCAGTACTCAGACATAGTTATGGCTCCTCAGATTCACCAGCTATTCTAAAATTAGGGCTCCTGTTCTCCTCCTGGTCACATGCTCAAAGGAGGAGAGACATGTTGGCATTGTTCCATCTTCCCTGTTCCCAATCATTTTGGGGGCTTACTGCCAAATGAGTCAAGGTCGGACCCCCTTCAGCTGCAAACCCTCAAGGAGTCTTGACCGCTACAAATGGGATTCATCACGTGTGGCTATTGGTGTTTGCATCACAGAAATGTAAATAATTTAGTCTCTGTTTGGCGCCAGCAGGGATGAGATGGAACAGATACTTTTGAAATGGTCTCAGTTCATTTCCATACCTTATTTATCTCATTGGAAGAAAAGAAAGTATCTTACTTGCATTCCTTTGCAGTAGTTTGTTTTAGAGTTGAGCTGTCCCAACTAGTGACTCAGACAGAACACAAGAGCGTGTTCTTTTCCAGATGTTTTAAAATGTTCACCTTGAAAGCATTTGGGCAGTAAACTGAACTTCTTTGAAAAAAACAAAGATGTGATTGTGATCAACCCCTCGTCTTCCTCCATATGTTACTGTGTTGCTATCATCAAACCAGGGACAGTAACGTACAGCGTATGACTGACTATAAGAGCGCTCTAGCTGTCTGCATTGTCGACGTGCTCTGCTTTAGTTCCCGTGACGTCTCTGCTCAACCGATAAATACCGAGGAAAGGCTGACATCACCTCCGTGGCCTGAGTACAGACTGGACTAATTTGGTTTGTCCTTTGATCTCAGTTGACGGGGTTTTGCTGAATGGTAAACAGTCGGGTCGGATTTCCTCCATGTCCTCTTTCCATAGCCAGACCGGTCTTAGTGCAGCTCAAAAGCTGACTTCAAATCAGCGTATTGGAATAACTTCACCTCATGGCCCTGAGGGAGAGTAATACGCCATCAGTGGTTTGACTGAGATGAACATCGTAAACACTTCCTCCTCTGAATGTTCACTGAGTTTGAGTGTTGTGGCACTTAGTGGTCCCCACTATGAAGTCGCAAATTCAGACCTTCTTTTAATGGATGTGGTTGATAGCTATAATGCTAAATAATCTCTTCCGTCCCGTCTTGTCCCCCCTTCTCACTGTTCCCTCCTCCAGACCCGTCAGACCATGAACTACGTGGGCCAGTTGGCAGGGCAGGTGTTCGTCCAGGTCAAAGAGCTGTACCGAGGCCTCAATCCCGCCACCCTTTCTGGCTGCATTGACGTCATCGTGGTGAGACAGCCCGATGGGTCTCTGCAGTGCTCACCTTTCCATGTTCGCTTCGGCAAGATGGGAGTCCTCCGGTCCCGAGAGAAAGTGGTAAGGGCAACCGCCTCTGTTGTCACGTTAAGAGACGTGCAACCTTTCAGATGCTTGAAGTGTTGTTTCCATCTGTTCCCGCTTTTTCTTTTTTTCTTTTTCTTACACCTCTTTTGCCCCTTTCCCTGCTCCTCAAGGTGGACATGGAGATCAATGGAGAACCAGTGGATCTACATATGAAGCTTGGGGACAATGGAGAAGCATTCTTTGTGCAAGAAACGGAAAACGATCAGGTACGCGTGAAAGACTGAGGATCAATCTGGCAAAGAAATAGAGAAGTGGTTATAGGTTGACAAGTTGAAAAGATGTAGTAAAACAATACCCGTCTCTTTTTATGTTTATGAAACCCTTGAGAACCATTAAAAAAAGAAAGTACAAAACAGAAGAAAAACACTATGAACACAACTATAAAAAAGCAGCTGTTTCTCTTGAGTTCTTGGAAAGCATTTGGTTTTCCAAGAGTTTTGGAGCAGCTGGTTGAAAGAGCCATGTCCCGCGTTTGTTCGCTAAAGTATACATGAGGATGTGTGCAGCTGAAAGACACAAACAAGCGGTGAACTAACTACTGGGGTCGGGGGCCCTGGCACCAACAAGGGAAGTGGGTAATTTATTTTCCCCAGAGTGGTGTCAGATTCCCAGGCCTGGAAGTGAAAGGAGGGGAACGGGGATACCGAGAGTTCTTGGCACAGGGAAGAAAAACGTGAGGGAGAGTATTGTTGTTAGACCACAAATCATATGGTTATACCTCACTTTTTCCTCCTTCTCCCTCTCCTTTTCTCTCTCTCTCTCTCTCTCTCTCTCTCTCTCTCTCTCTCTCTCTCTCTCTCTCTCTTTCCAAATGTTTGCACACACGTTTAGACTCCCCTGCGCTGGCAGCAGGAGATCCTCCTGGAAAGTATTTTCGTTTCCTAGAAGGAAGCATTATAACCACCCCAACCCCCCAAGTCACCAAAATTTTTTTTTATTTTTATTTCTTATTTCTTTGTTTTCTTGTTATTAATTGCAGAAAAAAAGTATATTTTGCGACCTGTTGAAGATAACGTGTGTATTTTTAATAGCGACGCAGGGTGTCCTGTTTTGATGCTGCAGTGGTTTTCCCTCTCAAATGCGATCCTTTCACAAAACAGAGGAACAGAGTCTGTTTTGGATTGGCTGTTTGGTTTCACTGGCAACGGCTCTCCTCACAGCAGAAGTGGCTGCAAACAGTGTTGCCGTGATTGCACAATTTTGACTCAGACAAAAACTGTGCAAAACAATAGGGTCATGTTGAAAATTTTGAAATCCAGTTTTAACCTGCTTACAGAAATTGTTAGGGTGGAAGATGAGAAGATGTTTTGGATGCAGTCACACTCTCTGACCTTGCACCCTTGCAGTTTTTAATGGCAAGAATCTTGTTGGTGTGTTTTAAGTCTCATCTCAAAACCTATTTATTTCTTAAAGGCATTTTTATCAATGTCCCTGACTTTATCTTATTTCTCACAGGAAGTGGTTCCCTCCTACCTGGCCACCTCTCCGATCTTGTCGGATGGGCCCATCCTGATGAGCTCCTCCCTGATGGGGAAGAGCTCCGGGCCGCCCATACAGAGCCTGGGCTCTGCGGGCTGCATGGGAGAGACTGGCGGTGGGATGATGAAGAAGAGGAGGAAGAGGAGAAGGAAGGCCCGGGCGGACAGCGTGAGGAGGGAGGAGAGCGGGGACTACTCCGAGGATGAAGACATGTTCACCATAGACATCAGCTCAGACGAAATGACAGCGGTGGAGAGCAACAGGTGAGAAAATGTGGAGAGAGCAAAGGATGAAGGGGCGAAGGACGAGAAAGAGGAATAAAGAAAGCAAGAAGTAATACATGTGAGGTGCAAGCAAAGAGGAAGAGCAATACATGAGGGAGAACAAGGGAGGGGTGGCGGGGGGGGCAGTGAGGCGGTAAGATAGAAAGTATAATACATCACTGAAATGAGCTGTGAGAGCAGCTGGAACAAAATTGGAGTCTGCCAGTTGAGAATAAACAGACCAGTGTATCTGTAGTGGAGAGGCCTCCAGCTGTGGCATTGGCACACACACACACACATGATAAGACACTCAAGACCATATGGAAAACACTAATACTATTTTGATTTTTATTAGATAGAAAAGAAGCTTCCACGTGAAAAGAGGAAACATCTTCACAGTGTGTGTTTTTGTTAAAGGGCGCATGTGCGCACAGTACGCCGACACGTGACTTGGGCTTTTGGTTCAATCTAAACCAGACCACATCAGGCAATAGATTTATTTTGATCTCTGCTCGTGTGTGGGAAAACATTACATCTGAATTCTGGCTCGTCTCTGTACACGACCGTGAAACAACACCAAGCTGACAGTTTTAAAAAGAGATGGTTGCATATGAAGTGTAAACACATTGTTAAAATGCTTTGTTATTAAAGGGAACAGTCGACCTCTAACACCAAGCCAGTATTAGTACATTTTGTGGTATTTATGTTTCAAATACTGTCGATTTTTTATGCTTATTTTCATGTTAACTGATCAAACCGAACATAACAACAATTGGGGAGTCAAAAAGAAACTTACAATCCGGACTCACGCTTGTCATGTTTTGAGTGCATGCAGAGAGCAACAAGTTCAGGCATGATCTCTGTGGGTGTGAAACGGGAGAAACGGGTGAAAAGGGAAAGGTAAATTATAGACCATTAGTAAAAATTAAAAGACATTACGTTACAGATGAATGATATACATATACAGTATTTGTGTGTGTTTCAGGACTCGGGACGTCTTGAGAGACGAGACGACGGTCGGTTCAGCCGGCGGCTCTTTCAAACAGACCGGCATGTACACCCGTTCAGATGGAGATTGGAGCCCAATTCAGAGGTGCTTCATTCACTCATATGACGAAGACCTCTATATTCAGAAGAAACAGCTCTATAATTCTGGTTTATCGTCTGTTCCTCTCTCAGCCCCGGAAACTCTCGTCCCACCTCTCCCAAGAGCGACTCTGAACTAATAACCAAGCCTTCAAACAATCAGAATCCAGCCATGCTCTGGGCGTGGGGGGAGATGCCACATGCTGCTACGGTAACTAAAAGTGTCCACTGTGCATACATAGAGAACAGCAGCTCTAAATATATGTGCAGTAATTTTTGGTACGTTCATGTTAGTCTGGCTCGCAGTGTTTTCATATTTTTGTCCTCCTCCGTGCTCTTCTAGCCGTCCTTCCTCCCAGTGAAACCCGACCCTCCACCAGTTTGCCCAGTATCCATCCCCGTGTCTGAAAGCACACACTTCCGCGTGATAACTCACGAGACGTCCTCGGAGCAGTGTGGGCCCTGCTCCGAAATATCGGCGCTCAGACTGCTGATGCCAGAGGAGACGGGCAAGGAAACGGTGGGGATGGAGTCCGAGTCCACGAGGACTGAGTCCCAGACAGCCGGAGGCGTGGCAGCTCAGATGACGTCTGACATGGAGGAGGCAATGTCTCATCCACCAGGCAAGACAGACTCTCCGTCCAAGAGACAAGGTAACAATCAATGGGCAATACGGTGTATAATTCCTTCAGGAGTTTATCGAATCCGCAGACATTCAAAACCAAAGTGTTATTGTGTTTTGTGGTGAAATAGTTGCTTTTAAAGACATGTACTTTGCAATAAAATTCACTGCACTGCCTATTTTGTATTGCATTTTACTTGCCACTTATTGAAAACCAAGCTGTAAAAAAGGGCCCCTAAACACAAAGAAGCTGTCTCTCTGTTGCAGACAAGAGAAGCCGCCATCTTGGCTCTGATGGAATTTACCTGGATGACATCACAGAGCTGGAGCCTGAAGAGGCGGCCCGTTATTTCCCTAAGAGGTATGAAACAATCACATGTTGTGCGTGCCGTTAAAACTTTTAACACGCTGCTATAGCCGAGCTTAACGCCTCTCCTCCGTAGTGACGGCAGTGCGGCAGTGAGGAGCATCTCGGACCCGGGTCTCCACAGCACCAGCCTGTCCCCACAGTCGGTCAGCTCTGGAGGAGACAGCGGAGTGGACAGCTACTGCGACCACATGGCCGACATGCCGTCCATCGCCATCTCTTTGTGTGGAGGGCTCAATGACAACAGGGAGATCACTAAAGGTGAGACACGGACGCGGCGCAGCTTCATGCTCGTGTTGTCAGCTGCAGGAAAGAGGAAACTGAAACAAAGTGTGTGTGTCTCCTGTACAGAGCATTTCCACGAGAAGATCATCTCTTACCAGCAGTTTTCGGAAAACCCCTCCATCATCGACGACCCCAACTTGGTCGTGAAAATTGGCTCCAAGTAAGACATATTACACCGGAGAAATGAAAACAGCAGGCTATAAGCAGTTTACAATCCACTGCATGCTGTATGGATTTAACTGTCACACACTTGCAGCAGAACCTGCAGCATGTACAGGGTTGTTTGACCTCATAAAGACATTTAGCTGACAAAGTGGGGGTTTTTTTCAATGCGGTGATGAAATTGATAAAAATAAATTTTGTTTCTCCCTCAGATACTATAATTGGAGTTCGGCAGCTCCCCTTATGCTGGCCATGCAAGCCTTTCAGAAACCGCTGCCAAAGGTAAGAAACTAATACTCAGCACAGATATTTGACTCTCGGTCGGTTGGTTGTGTTACATGAATACCACTCCCCTCTGTGGGCTGAAACTGGTACCGCACCCCGTGTGACTGTATATACACCTATACACCTTATAATTCTGCCCATCCTACATGCTGCATAGCACCGAATGCGCAATCGATAAACTTACAACCTCAATGTTCTGTTATTGCGGTCTTAATGTCGTGTGACAAACATCCACTGAATCTCTTCTCCTTAAACTTTGTCTCCCCCTCTGCTCCCTCCCCTCCATTAGTCCTCTTGCCTCAGTTATATTCACTCAGCCTTAGAGTTTCTCCTCTGTTGTCTTACTGGTGTGCTGGGCTACAGCTCTGTACGTCACAGACCACCTTCCTTTACCCTTTCCTTCCTCATTCCTTGTCCTCTATCGAACTTCCAATCACCACCCCCTCCCCCCATACATGCTTTAGCTTTAAGTTGTTTTTTTTAAGTGTGTTTTTTATGGTGTTGTGTTGTGGTTGTTTTTGGGGATGTGTGTGCTCCGCTCCAGGCTGCAGTGGAGAACATCATGAAGGAGAAGATGCCCAAGAAAGGAGGGAGGTGGTGGTTCTCCTGGCGGGGCAGAAACAGCGGCTCCAAATCGGTGATTTCCTCTCATCTTGCTGATAACGTTTCTTTTTAGATTCCACTAAGTGGGCAAAAGCAAATCAACGCTGTTTCTCCTCTCGCAGGATTCCGTCTCTGAGCGCGGGGCCTGCGGTTATGCTGAGCAGGCCGGGAAAATGTCAAGCAGGTGAGGAACCCTCAAAACAAACAAAAAATATGCTCTATGTTAGTAAGCGACAGAACATCCTGTCTGTTGGGGTGTGAACATCCTTTTAACACACTGCCGACCTGTCCGATGCCAGACACAAAGACGAGTCGTCCTCCAGCGATGAAGACCGCGGGGACGCCATGCAGAGCTCTCCCACCATCCAGTCGGAGCCTGGGCTCACACTAGGAGGCGTGTCTTATAAGAAAACACTCCGACTCACATCAGAGCAGCTGGTGAGCGCATATTTTGAATTGTTCTACTTATTGTAGTTGTTTTTACCATTGTATATTATATCTCTTTCTCCCTTTCTTTCTCTCTCACACAGATGTCCCTCCAGCTGCAGGATGGCCCTAACGATGCTGTGTTTAGTGTGACCACTCAGTACCAGGGAACCTGTCGCTGTCAGGGCACCATCTACCTCTGGAACTGGGACGACAAGATAATCATCTCTGACATAGATGGAACCATCACCAGGTGTGTGATACATGTGAATATAAACATTTTACAACACAGTTGAACTCTGTTTGGAGTGAAAATTAATATATGTATATATATATGTATGGCTCAAAATGTAATCTATAGGTTGTGTCCAGTACAGACATTGGCCTGCGCTCACATGTCTAAATGTAATTCATGCGTGTTTGTCTTTAGGTCGGACACATTGGGTCATATCTTGCCCACACTGGGGAAAGACTGGACCCACCAGGGCATTGCAAACCTCTACCACAAAGTCAGCCAGTAAGCACCAACTGTAGTTTCAGTTAAAGCAAAACACCAAAAGGCACACATTGCACACAACAGATTTGTTGTTATTGCCATGGAGTGATCATTATCGATACACACGCTTGTTCTCGCTTCGTCAGAAATGGCTACAAGTTCCTGTACTGTTCGGCGCGAGCTATCGGCATGGCCGACATGACCCGAGGTTACCTCCACTGGGTCAACGAGAGGGGCACCATGCTTCCCATTGGCCCCGTCCTCCTCAGCCCGAGCAGCCTCTTTTCAGCCCTGCACAGGTCTCTCATTCACACAAACACACACGCACGTGTTTCTAAGTTTACGCTCAAGAAGACGCAGGAGACACTACGACTTAATCGTTGTTGCACTGTGCTGATACTTGGTTACATCTCTGTGGTGTGTGTGTGTGTGTGTGTTTGACAGGGAGGTGATTGAGAAGAAACCAGAGAAATTCAAGGTGGAGTGTCTCAACGATATCAAGAACCTCTTCTACCCCAACACTCAGCCGTTCTATGCAGCGTTTGGCAACAGACCAACGGTACGCACGCGTTACATAAAGCACAACTCATGGTACACTACGTCATTTAAAGGTTTTTACTGGTGTATAAAATCCATCTGGATATTTTGGGGAGGTTGAAAATGAAAGACATTTGTGCTGTAGATTCTTGCATAAATGTATGTTACTTTTGCAAAGTTTTATTTAAATATACATAATTTCCAACACTGAATTAAATGCTGTTTTACATTGTTTAGGATGTATATTCCTATAAAGAAGTAGGAGTGCGACTGAACAGGATTTTTACGGTAAACCCTAAAGGCGAGCTAGTGCAGGAGCACGCCAAGACCAACATCTCATCGTGAGTCCATGCGTCCAGTTCACGCGCCGTATTCAAGGAGGAAACATTGCAACGTTTACTTTTCTGAATTCAACGTGTCTGACCGCTGGCCTCTCCTCTCCTCAGTTACGTCCGTCTGGGTGAGGTGGTGGACCACGTGTTCCCTCTGAAGACCCGAGCCTCATCCTCAGACTTCCCTTGCTCTGACACCTACAGCCACTTCACCTACTGGAGGCAGCAGCTTCCCCTGGTGGACCATCCGGGTACTACACCTCCACAGACTCCCCTCCCCAGCAGCTGACTATCTATGGCTGACGGTGTGATGGTGTGTGATAGGAATTTGTATTTTTTTTTACTGTAGAAGAGGATGGAGCACTTTGAGTGCACACCAGAGAGCAACCTAATTTGGTTAATCTGCTGTTAAAATATTTATAGATGGATGTAAGAGCACTTTTATGAAAAGATGGCCTTTTGACTATCTGTATGTATATGAGAAATAATAATAATTTATTCAGGCAGCTTAGCACATGTACTATTTTTGAGTGAGTGTTGACATTATTTCAGTAGCTAGACTTTTCAAGCTATTTATGCAGGCAGTTGCTTCCAGTATTGCTCAGTATGTTTTAACATAGTATGTTAAAATGTATTGCACAGCACAATTAATGAGTGGACGTCTATGTGGCTTGACATTATTCTGACAGAGGGTTCATTATAAAGATGGTTTTGAATGCATATTTATTGTTGAGACAAAGTAATGCTGACAGGAGAACAGAAAGCACAACATTTTGAATGGTCAAAATAACCATTGTTTCCCCTTTAAAAAAAAAAAAGTATCTGTGAGAATTGTTGAAATATTTTTATTTTTCTATTGAAATCACACGGTGTGTATATGTTGCGATGTGAAAGTGATTTCTGTGGTGGCCTTCGTGAAATAAATTTATCCAGTTACACTTCACACGATGTGACTGTTAGGTGCTCAGATAAGTTAAGATGTTTGTTTCCATAAATTCCATTAGATATATTTTGTTCATTCATCTGGTGACATACTGACTGATATGACATGTAGCCTACACCACCCATTGGTTCTTGTACTGCTGCCATTCCCTTGTAATATCACTTAAAGCAAAACCCAGGTCTGGAAGCCCTTATCAGACATCTTAGAGAGGACAGTAGGCGACAGTATTAAAAGGAATGTTTGACATTTTTTTCCAAAGTAACAGACACTTGAAAAGTGATCTTTAATTCTTACAACACAGATAACCTGAGGTCATATGCAGGAGCTGCATGCTGTCATGGTGACATGCCTAATGCATCAGTGTTTTGACTGTGAACCACCCGAACAGTACAATCATATTGACTAAGCGTGTAGTTTATGGAAGAGGATATGCATATAATGCTTTATGATTCTTTCCATGAAAGAGTTCCAATAGCCTGAAAGCATATTTAACTTTGCCTTAAACTGTGAGCGATATGATCAATAATGTGTTCATTTATTCCCTCCACTCCTTCTCCTGACCAGTTCACTGTTTTATTTATGTAAGCAGAGTCAATAAAGAAATGCCTTGATAACAGTGCGTGTGGGTCAATAATTCAGCATGACAGCTCTCCGTTCAACTGAATGCAGCGGTGGAAGAAATATTCATAGAAAAGTAGAAATATCACACTGTGAAAATACTACAAGTAAAAACCTAAGTGTCAGTGTTTTCCTATTACTCATGATGTTTGTGGATTAGTACATTAATGTGTTGCATTTTACGGTTTTAGATGTTTACGGTTTATATACTGTTGGGTAGTTTAATTTACAGCAATGCATCATATTCTATAACAGCCATGTTTTCAACTGTGTGAAGATTCATTTTCCAGCTGATCCAATGAGGTTTTTAATGAGTTTATTTAGCTTAAGGAGTAGAATAATTTTCTCAACCCATAAAGGAACACGTCACCCCATCAGTTTTTCAGAAACAAATCATTACATTACATTTGGTTGCATGCTTTTCACTGAACAGGAAGATGATGAAAAGTTGTAATCTGAAATGTAACTAAAGCTGTCAGACAAATATTGATATTTCTAATGCACAATTCATCATTTTAATAATCTATATGTTTATTTGTTACGTTTAGTTTTACAAAGTTAGGAAAGCCTGATGTTGTCTTACAAATAAAAGAACACATCGGTACTCAAGTAAAGTACAAGTACCTTCATTTGTACTTAAATACAGTACTTGAGAAAATGTTACTTTGTTCTGAGTTGTCTGTCATCACTGTGATGCATCAGGCTGCTTATAGATACATAGATACATGGATAGATGGATGGATAGATGGATGGATAGATGGATGGATAGTTGGATGGATAGATGGATGGATAG